AAGCTTCGCCTTTCGCGTACGTTTGAGTTAACACTCATGGACGAGGTCGAACTGGAAGCCATGTTAATCTTGGACTACATTGGCCACCGTAGGAGTTAAAACGAAATCAGAATTGAGAGGAACAGAAACTAATATTCACTGGATGGTCATAACTTTTCACCGCTAGATGGGCATAAAAATCACACAGTGTAGCTTTAAAAGCAAAAGTGTTTTCTTGAAAGTTTTACAGATGAACACTTAGAAGTGAACACTTAGAACAGTAACATTAGTACATTTTTTACTAACATAAGTACATTCAGACATTTATTTTTTATACTTTTTGGATTCCCCTTTTCTACTGTGCAATGCTCAACATCTTGTGTGGGAAATATTTTCTCATTTGTCTTCCAAAATAGTACTAAACTATATCAAAAGACAAAAAAAAACTATTAGACAGAAAACGCATAGCTAATCTTCCGACATTATCTTGTTTTTCAATAGTTGCCCTGCGTAAGATAGACACCATCCATCACCCATCTATGGACAAAACCAACCAGCCTCCTGAACCTGTGCTGTTTCAGAAGGTTCTGCAGAGTTCAGACACCCCACCGAAGGTTACGTTAGCTGATAGACCTCAACCTGGAGATATACCTCCTAAACCACAGCATTCAGAATTACCCCCTAAACCAGGAGAACTACCTCCAAAGCCCCAGCTGTCCGACCTTCCCCCTAAACCCCAGCTGGGTGACCTACCGCCTAAACCTCAGCTGAAAGATCTCCCGCCCAAACCCCAACTGACAGACGTCTCCCCACCCAAACCCCAACCGATAGACGTCTCCCCACCTAAACCTGTAACCACTGAGATCCTCCATAAACCTCCTCCTGGAGAAGTGGCTCCCAAGCCCCAACCCCCAGATACTCCAACAATCATCCAACAAGGTGAACTGTCACCCCAGCCGTTCCAGTCTAGTGAAGACACCAATGGAAGTCCAACATCAGCACAGGAGACCCCTGTACCGTTGCCCCGGAAAATAAATCCGGTGAGGATTCAGTCTCAGAAGGGCATGGGAGTCATTAACACAGTGCTTTTAACAAGCGAGTCTTGCATTTTTTTTTTGCAGATTAAGAGTAAAATGCGAAGGGTGAAGACCATCTATGATTGTCAGGCGGATAACGATGATGAGCTCACTTTCGTTGAGGGTGAGGTCATTATAGTAACCGGGGAAGAGGATCAGGAGTGGTGGGTAAGTGTAACCGCTCCAAATTTTCAAGGATATGCAATAAAGCATGAGACTTGAGAAGCAACAAATTCTTCCTTCGAAATGTTTTACAGACTTTCAAATGTTTTGATTTAAAGGAACACTCCAACTTTTTTGGACTTTAGCGTATTCACTGTATCCCCCAGAGTTAGATAAGTCCATACATTGACCTTGTGACTGTACAAATCACAGCATGTAAATAGGAAAATGTTTGCATTATTTTGTCACTTATTAGGATTAGAATGCTAGCTGTAGCCATTTACATCCAGTCTTTGTGCTAAGCTAGGCTAGTTTTGGGTGTGTCAATCAGAGTTACAGCACATATGGAGATGAAAAAAGGTATGTATGGACTTATCTAACTCTGGGGGACACAGTAAATAAGCTAAAGACAAAAAATGTCGGAATGTTCCTTTAATGATTTATGAAATGGTTCCCATAGTTCATGGCTATTTAAAACTATAATTGTAGACATTAAAAGTAGTTCTACTAAGGCATTGGATAGTAAACTAATGGATGTGAGCACCGTGTGCTCAGGCTTTGGCGTTCTCGGCGCCGTCAAAATAAAGGTCTGCCGTGCTGTCAAAATAAAAGTCACAACAACAAGCACGTACGTTACTTCCTTGTAAGTTCCTACTGGCTGTGCGATTGCAACTTCTGGTTGTTCTTAATTTGATTGTTCTTAAGGGAACCATTAGTTCTTGGGGTATTTATAATATAGGGGTTTTCGTGCCGAAAACCCCTATATATTCACTATAGGATTCTTTAAATACTTTCCCTAATGTATCTTAAACAAGAAACTGACAAAAACAACAAACTACTTTAGGCTGTTTATTGCACCAAAAGGAAATGCAGTTCTTACAGAATATCAACAGAGACAGGCTACCTGGAATACAACCAAAAGTGCAAACAGTGTCTTTAAAGACAGTAAAATTTTATTATTACTGTTTTAATATGTTTGGAGGAAACACGCTAAGTTCACATACTTGTTTCTCTGAAAAATACTTTTATAGCCAGTTATTTTACTTGTGAATGTGCGTTTCCAGGCTGGAATGTTTGTTTTAGTTTTGGTCCTATGTTGCAAATTTGCCCATTTTCATTGTCCATTGCGCTCGTTCCTGTTGCGTGTCTTCAAACTTGCAACTCGTGTGAGCGCCGTCCAGTCTGAGGAGCAGGTGGCTGGAGAAATGACGATCTCAGATATTTTGAATTTGGACTGCAGTACCTATTTTGACCAGTAGTTGCCATTCTTAAGCCGAATTCACAAATAGCGCCTAAAAACGCGTAGAAAACGCTGGGCGTGACGCATTCTCTTTTTTCCAAAGCACTAGGGCGGTTGCGCTCCGGTTGGTTCTTGCCACGTGAACTACTGTGCGCTTAAGGCCAATTTATACTTCTGCGTCGAGGGTACGCCGTAGTGTATGGCGTTGGCTACGCATTTATACTTCTGCGTTCAGGTCTTGGTTGCTCTGCAGTACTGCTCCGAAACGCTAGTTGGCGGCGGAGGGTTTTAATGTTCCACTGTGTTTAGATTCCTCCCGGCTAGGTTACTACAAGCAATAGCGACTGAAAGAGAGTGGATCAGGTTGGAGTTGGATCTTATTGAGGTGGAAAAACAGTTAATTTTAGTGAAATTACTAAAACTGAAAGGCAGAAATGAGAGAAGATGTCGGAGGAGATGGAATGTGACGGAAATGCGTGAGAAGGTACGTGCGGAAATGCGTAGGAGGAAATGCGATGCTACCAAGCCGACCAATCACCGATCTTGCGGTCTGCGTCGTCGCGACGTGTAGTTACATTTTTGAGGAGGTTACGGCGAAGGGTACGCGATATGGGCCGCGTCTGTGCGTATGCTACGCCGTACCTACTGCGCGCACCCTACGCAGAAGTATAAATTGGCCTTTATGGTGCGCTTGCAGCATTCTGAAAAATCTTGATGCGGCGCGGACGCGTTTGGAAAAAAAAACGAGCGCGTCGCAGCGCGACCACATCGTTTCCATTATGAGCACGCATACCGCACGCCTACATTTGAAATAACGAACTTGAGCGTGCAAAAGACGCTATATGTGAAGAGGCCCTTACAACACAGGCACTTTAAAGGATGAAAATCTGAAAAATTGCTTGACATAAACTCTTTAAATGTACATGTGCTAACCATGCTGCAAGCAGAATTGTTCTGGCTATTGAATTATTGAAAAATAAGTGGTAATCCTCTGGTGTGCGCTCATTTTCAGCTATTCATCTTTTTTTTCCTTACTTGATTTAGAGTTACATTCTGATTGTAACCTTTCTTTTTTGTCTTCAGATTGGGCACATTGAGGGGCAGCCAGAGAGAAAAGGTGTATTTCCCATGTCTTTTGTTCATATCTTGTCTGATTGACACACAAACGTTGGTTCTCCACCTCCCACCCAGCACAATACCTCTGGCTATGGGACGCACTTGACTTAGCTGCTGAATCAACAATGCAAGTTTTAAGATGGAACCACAATGAAAAACACAAGACAGTGTAAATAAAATGTCTAACTGTACCGCTGTTGTCCGTACCGTTTTATAAAGCCTACCGCACAACGACTAGACTGCACCCACTTAAAAGACCAGCACTTTTCCTCCACTATTACTGATACTGTATCTCTGTATATAAGATTGTACATAAATGTGTGCGTCTGTTTCACACAAGGATGAGTGTGTGAATTTTTTTTTTTTTTGTGTGTAAATGTAGAAACCTGTATTGGTCTGAAAAGTAAATGTGTGAACTTGTACTCTACCTGCCAGTATGTTACGGCTGGGGCCAGTTTTGTTGAAATAAGTTTTATTAATATGTCCATCGTTGCTATCATCTATAGCAGGGACAGATAGAAGTTGACTTCTCTTCCCAATGGAACAACTGGACTTTACATTGGTTTTCGTTTACATGTTTTTACCTTCACATTTCCTAACACCACTAAAGCATGTCAGAGTGAAATGTTATTTTGTGTTTGCCGTTTCTTTGTTCTTGCTATATAGTGTAAAATTATTAACCTCTGCATTGCATTGCATAAACCATTACCTGTGTGAACAGGTTGTTTCCTCTGTGATCCCATATCAGTGTTTTATCCACGCAAGTACATTTACTACCGTCTTACTGAAGGACAGCATTTTGTAATCCAGTGGTGTTCCACAAAGGTCCCCCTTTGTCACTGTTTTGAAAGATCTTGGTTACTTGAAATACTTTTGAAAATGGAGAAGTCGTTAACTCCGTTTATAGATGTTATATTTAAGTGATAGACATGGATGTACTGTATTGTAATTGGAATCTGTCATTTCATCCATGCTGCCAGTAACCCTTCTAGGTCAAGGACTTTCATTAGCTGCTCAATTTAAATGGACTGGCAACTAGTTTCTAATGTGAGATGGTCAACCCAATCCTTTGATGCAACAAATTGAGGCTCTATCAAGTCAGGTTTATCCACCAATTTAAATGAGCACTGTATGAAGTTCAAGTCTGTTAGCACAGTTCAACTTGAGTAACTTAATTCTGAACGAAATATGAATTCCTTTTTCTGCACCTACCTAGAATATGAGTTGTTGGGTTAGGTGTTCTACAGGTGTCTTTTAAACTGCAGATTGAGGACCTGTCCACTGTCTAAACATCCTCATTCCATTATCAATAAAATGGCTTCACATTAAACAAGATTAAGTCTCAAGTGTTGTGTTTAAAAATTATGGTCAAGTTATGACCAATTCAGTTTACAACAAATCCAAGTCGACTCAAGACCACACATGCGTTACAAGTGAAAACTTAAATTTATTTGCAGTCCAGCAACAAAAATGAAAGCTTTTTTTTATCTACAGCCATACCAAACCTCATGTTGGGCCTCAAGTTCAGTTGAACAACAACTGAATACATCAACACATTTAAAAAGAGACTTCACTTTAAGGCAACAAAGTGCGATTCCATAAAACTATACAAAAATGCTCAACTTAAAGAACCTTTTGGCTCACATACCAGACTGCTGGTAAAGAAATTATAAAAGGGACAATTATCAACTCATTTTGATACTTTTTGTGACGTCTTTTTGGCTTGGTCCACCTTCTCCACAGATTTGATGACCCCAACAGCAACAGTCTGTTTTAAATCCCTTACAGCAAATCGACCTGATGGAAGAAAAGGGACTTTAAAACATGGCTTTCAGTAGTATTTTGAGCACCTAAATCCAGCGCCTTACCCAGAGGTGGATAATGAAAGAAGCTCTCCACACATAGGGGTTTGTTGGGGATGAGTTTGACTGTGGCACCATCTCCTGACATCAGGTACTGGGGGTAATTCTCCAGTTTCTTCCCTGTGCGCCGATCTAGCTTTTCCCTCAGCTCAGCAAAACGACAGGAAACATGGGTTGTGTGGCAGTCCAGTACAGGGGAGTACCCGACCTTGATTTTGCCTGGGTGGTTCAGCATTATAATCTGTTGAAGATGCACAAGAGAAATCGCTCAGTAATTTGTCAGCCAGAGTTTAAAACAAGGTTGAAAACAACCATAGCTACCTGAGCAATAAAGCTGTTGACGTCCGACGGAGGGTCCTGCTGTGCATTCCCTGCTACATCACCTCTCCGAAGATTTTTTACAGAGACATTTTTAATGTTGAACCCCACATTGTGGCCAGGGAGGGCAGTTTCAAGCCCCTGGTGATGCATCTCAATGGACTTGACCTCCGCAGTCAACTTTGCTGGTGAGAAGGTCAGAACCATTCCAGGCTTCAGGATCCCAGTCTCAATCTTACCCACAGGGACGGTGCCAACACCTGGGTAGGGATAGTATGTCAAGGGTACCATACACAACGGATTTAAATTGAGACCTTGCCCACTTGGAAGTTTTACCCACCACCAATCTTGTAGACATCTTGTAGGGGAAGGCGCAGTGGCTTGCCCAAATTACGCACTGGAGGAAGTAGGGAATCGAGCACCTCCAACAAGGTTCGGCCATTTGAATGGCCTTCTTTCCTCTTTAGCTTCCACCCTTTGAACCATGGCATCTAAAGCAGAACATGCAAGCAATCATGATCCTCTGCGCTATATCAGGGGTGCCCACAGTCCTGTTCCTGGAGATCTACCAGTCTCCAAAGTTTAGCTCCAACCCTGATCAATCACACCTGAACCAGTTAATGGTGTTTGCGCTAAACTCTGCAGGTGGGTAGTAGTCCAGGAACAGGATTTAGGCCAGGGTTCCCCAAACTTGGTCTTGGAGGGCCACAGTCCCTGCAGAGTTTAGCTCCAACCCTGGCCTTGATTAGCTTGCTCAGGTGTGTTTGATCAGGGTTGGAGCTAAATGTTGCAGGGACAGTGGCCCTCCAGGACCAAGTTCGGGGAACCCTGATTTAGGCACTTGTCTAGTTCATCATGGGGTGCGTAGAGTGGCCTCACCTTCTGAGATGGGGCAATCATGTTCTCACCAATCCAGCCAGAAACAGGTATGAAAGGTACAGAACCAATCTCAAAGCCAATCTTCTTTATAAACACCGAAACATTCTTCACCACCTCATCGTAGCGTTTCTGGCTGAATGGTGGTTCGGTCAAGTCCATTTTGTTGATGCAAACCATAAGCTGTTTGACCCCAAGGGTGTACGCCAGCAAAGCATGCTCTCTTGTCTGACCATTGCGAGAAATCCCAGCCTCAAATTCACCCTTTGCAGCAGAGACGATCAGTAGAGCAGCATCAGCCTAAGTAGTAAAGAAAGATTGTCATTTTATTCAACTTGGTTGTAGAGGTAATACCAGAAAAGAAACCCAGATAAACATTCAAATCAACATCTGAACTGTTTTAATACCTGTGAGGTCCCCGTGATCATGTTCTTGATAAAGTCACGATGGCCAGGTGCATCGATTATGGTAAAAGTGTATTTTTGGGTGTTGAATTTCAGCAGGGAAATGTCAATTGTAATTCCACGTTCCCTTTCTGCTTTCAATTTGTCCAGCACCCAAGCATACTTGAAGGAGCTCTTTCCCATCTTCAAAAATAAAGCAAAGTTAAAGTCTACCACTTAAACAATCATAAGCAATTCAAGTTGATAACCTACTAACCTGGGTTGCAGCCTTCTCATACTTCTCAATAGTTCGATGGTCAATTCCTCCACATTTGTAGACAAGATGACCAGTGGTTGTGGATTTACCGCTGTCCACATGGCCAATGATGACCAAGTTAATGTGGATCCTTTCTTTGCCCATATTATAGTTAAAGTAATTCAAGTTTTAGACAACAACTGCAAAACTTCAAACGTATGCCTTGTTCTTAGCATAAATGGGGAGCTTATAAAGTAACTAATTGGAAGGATGATGGTGATTGAGACCTGGTTTGATCAATAACCGCTGAAATAAAGACCACGCCCACAATTAACTTGAATCGTCTTAAAGCTACATCTTAGCCTATTATAAAAATATCATATCCATAATTATCTCCCAACACAAAACACATAGGCCTACTATAATTCTTCTTTTTCATAACTCAAAGTAAATAGTTTGTTATCTCCTTATTAGGCTACTGTAGCATTCACAGTCTTTCTATCATTTTTTTTTTAATCTAGCCTATTAATTTTTATTTCTTGGCGGCTATACGCTACCAGTGCAATTTTTCTTACACTATAAGTATAATGTATTTCTCATGCTTTTATTTCAAGTTCGGATGAAGCATTGTGATGAAAAAAATAAAGTGAATAAAAAAGTGTGGTCGACAGATTAATCTGATTGACAGTTTAATCGTTTTTTATGTTTAAAAATACATAAGGGGTGTAAATAATGGCATAAAAAGTATATTTTGATCAAGCTACTTTAATACCACAAATTCCTACATTCAGATTTAAACATCCGTGTTTTTTTTTATTATTATTATTATTAGATGAAACCTAGCCCGGCGGTTGTAGGACTAGTTATATTTGATTTGTAGCGGTTAATTAATTATATCAAAGTTTCATTTATGACTCGTCACGTGAATATGTTTTTTTTTTTTTTTCAACAATGATGTCATGTGTGATTGAGTGACATAAAACTTGTTGCATTTGCACAGGTTTACGTAACAGAAATTAGTTCATCCGTCAGGTGTGTCGCATAAGCATCGGCCGGCAGAGGGCGCGTGTTGAAACAACTACATTAACTTTAGTTATATTAAAACACATCATCGCGTCTAATGCACACGAGAATGTATTAAATTTAAAGTAATCTCCTTGGTTTTCATATTATATAATGATGTGTGGTGCTTGATTTAAGCGTTTGGTTTAAAGTACAAGAACACAATGACGTTTTATTAACCCGGAAATAACAGTCGGTAAGACAGCTGAGAGCGAGAGAGGCTCAGATACAGAGAAGGAGAGAGAGAGAGAGATCTAAAGCCGTCTCCCTAGAGCTTATAGCGTGCTACCTGGACTCCATACGTTTTTCCCCCTCATTGCTTCAAATTCAAAGGTGCGTTTTCGTTCCTCTCTTATATGTTTATGCTGCATGCACTGCGCTTTATTGTGTATATTCATAACTCAATGCATGGGTGCTGTAACGTTAGTACAGCATGTGACTGAGCGGTACGTGTGCTTTCAGCACGATGGCACCCGTGGCTATCCGTTGTTTGAAAGCGTATAGACAGGAACAAATGAAATATGATTGTATGACGATGTTTAAATGCCTTTATGGATGGGAAAAAGTAAATCAGATTTGTGTCATTCAATGCAATGCAGTGTAACTTCTGCCATGCATTGTGCAACACTGGGATTACACTTTTCATAAGCAGAAATAGATATTGCTGTTCTGTTTTCATTGTAATTTGTCATGAAAACCCTGAAACATCAGAATATTATAAAATGTGATGGGTAAGGAAACGTCATAGGCTATTTTGTTTTTAAGTCAACGAATTTTATTTTGTATCTTAAAAAAACACATAATTGTCTCACATTTTCTGGTCATGTCTACAACATTTCTGTGGCTAGAAATGTCTAATATAAAATTATTTGTAAAAGTATTGACAAATCGTGGAAATGCATTAGTCAAAGGTCCATCTGATCTGATGCTTTTGCACAGATTCCAAGTGAGGATACTGTATGTTCCAATCTACTAGTGTTCAAGTGTAGTGCACTTAATGTCCAATGTAGGGCTCATTTATCCAGTGCATTGTGCAGTTTAATGAAAGTACTTGCAAAACATTTTGTTTCCAAACTGATTAATATGACAGAATTGTTTGATTGGCTTATTAAAATCATTAGATTGATGTAGGCATTTATTGGTATGTAAATCAAAATAGCATTTGCAAGAGCAATGTCAGGTTCTACTGTAGCGTAATATCATGCAATTTATACAATTTCTTTCTTTTCCTTCAAAAAGTCATAATAATGTGACATTATCGAGTATTGGTGTGACATAGAGCTCTGGTTTGTGTGATTGTATCCCAAGCTCATCTCATCCCATCTGAGATCAATCACGAACCCTGATGAAAATAGTCTTATCACTTTATAAACCTCCTCATGCTGGCATTTCCAAATACCATTGAATAAATATCTGTCATCATACTTATCCATGTGCAGTTCATATCATTCGATTAACATCTTATCACTTCTCTTTCCCTTTCCTTTTATGGTATGTCGGTGAGGCTTAAAGTCAAGCATACAGGAAGACTCTCATGTGGTGGTTTTTGACATTTTTTGTCGGCGTCGTAGCCTATATTTTAAGTCATAGTTAGATCGAGATTTTTTTTTTTTTTTTTGTAACCTTTTTGCTTGTGTTGGAGGATGTTGCCTGCTGGGATTGCATTTTATATAATTGTTGTGCTGGAAGTAAATTGGATGGATCATCATTTATGTAAGTTTGTTAAAAAAATATAATGGGCTTGGTGATGGATACATAGTCTTAATACAATATAGATGCATATAAAAAAGATGCATGCTTTTCTTTGTTCCTCAAAGAATCATAAAATTTGTCATGGTTTTCAAATCATATCTATCACTATCAGCAGTACAATAATTAACTTTGATAATTAGAGAAAAAAAATGAGCCTTAAATCAGCTTTTTAGACTCATTTCTGAAGGATCATGTGACACTGAAGCAACTGCTGAAAATTTAGTTTTGCCATCATAGGAATAAATGAGTAATACATAATTCAAATAGAAAACTGTTTTTTCTTTCCAAAACATGGACCAGGTTTCTGGCATAGCATGCTTTGTTTTGCCTGTATGTTAGACCATGGGGAGTAAACATTGTGGGTCTGCTTGTTTAACGGACAGATGCCGTAAATAAAGGTACTCGTTATCTGCTTTTGGATCTGATTTGGAAGTGATAGCCTAGGTGTGTCCATTAGTGTTTGTTTGTTTGTTTGTTTGAGAGAGGACTGCCTTAGTAAGCATTTGGATTTATGGTATACAATTGTATACAGTCCATGATTGAAGAAGGTTTGAATGAATTGTGACCTTTAAGGGATAGTTCACCCAAAAATGAAAATTCTGTCAGTTTTTACTCACCCTCATGTTTTTCCAACCCTGTAAGAGCTTCGTTCATCTTCGGAATACAAATTAAGATATTTTTGATTAGATCTGAGAGCTGGATCACTCCATGGCTTCTAAGGGATTGAAACTTGCCGGCCCCAAAAAGTTATTAAAGACATCGTTAAAATAGTCCAAGTGACTACAGGGGCTCAATCTTAAGTTTATCAAGCGACGAGAATACTTTTTGAGCGCAAAAACAATCAAAACTAACGACTTTATTTCAACTATTCATTTCCTTCTCTGTGGGCCTCTCAGTTAACGTAGTGTGATAGCGTAGAGCTACGTCACACTTGGGGACTTTAAAGTGTAAATTGCAGGTTAAAGTTTTCACGAAGATAATGCAAACGTGTGTACTAAACATAAAGATAAGAACCGCCCACAATTGTTTTGTTTTTTTGTTTGTTTGTTTTTTATACCAAAATGCTGCAGATAATATGAAACGTTGGTATGTTTTACTGTGGTTTTAAAGGGATACTTCACGTTAAAATTATTTTTTGATATGTTTTAGTTTACCTCAAGGGCATCCAAGATGTTGGTGTCTTTGTTTCCACAGTATTTTCAATTCTGATATTTTTAGGTCAAACCGTTCTTGTCTGTCAGTCATATAATGGAGGTTTATGGGGTTCACCTCAAAGAGCATGCACAAAGAAGTCCAAATTAAACATGATTTAATGACTCGTAAATGTAAGTACACATTGATGGCCTAAGACACAAAACGAGCGGTTTGTGTGAGAAAATGAACAGTATTTATATCGTTTTTACCTCGGTTAACCACAGCCACGTCCAAGTGATCTGAAGGCCCGGGCGCTTCGGTCTGCGCATGCGCCGGAAGTGATCTCGCGCGTGTATATCACTCATTGTTTACACAGAGATTTTGGAAGTTTTACCTTTCATTGTGAAGATCTACACATATTTAGATATACAGGAAATCACAATGGAAGACAATTTTAATATATCTAAATATGTTTAGATCTTCACTGTTTAGCCCCACCCTACACGAGCACGTTGTGTCCGAGCCCAGCCTGGCCTGACACATTAACTGTAATTATGAGCCCGAACCTGATTTAAACCCGACCATTTTTTAATATGTGGGTCATATAACTGACGTTCTCAACTACTTTCTATGTTACTTTCTCCCACCCGCAACATTTATGTTTTGTCCCGTAACCCGTTCCCACACGCAAATAAACATTTTTCTGTACCTCCAAACTTTCGAGTTAGCCTACGTGTCGCCATCATACACATCAGCATAAATGCTCCTAATAAATTATTTGTTATTAAAGCATTAACACACAAACCACACTGTTATAACGTAAAAAAAGGGTATCGCGATCTCGCACATCTCTGTTGTTCACAATGAATCTTTGATCATAACAAACAAAGTGTAGATATTATGAGAGGATTTGCCAGCATACAGAATTCATCACTGAACATAAAGTCTGTTTTGAGCGGTCAGGGAAGTCTATCTTAAATGCTTCTGATTAGCCATTGTGTTCCTATAGAAATCAACACGTATGTCTGTGATTGGCTACATCGCTCAACGCTACATAGAAACTCTGGCCTGTAAATCGTTTCTAGTTTGTTTTAGTTGTTCTTGTTGCTTTTCTGCAACAGATGAATACAAATGTATTTGTTTTTATGTTTTATTCATAGATATTTCTAGTTTGCGGGACTCCCGCAAATCGTTTATTCTCCCTCAACCTGAACACACAGTGCATTATCGCCCACGCTGTTGTGGTTGTGGTGGTTAACCTGCAATTTACACTTTAAATAACGTTTAGTTTCATGCAGTTTCTGAATTCTACATATAGCCCCTTTAAAGTGGTTGGATTTTTAAACTATAGACCTACTTCTCTCTGTACTCTTGATTCATGGCTAAAAT